TTGTTTAACGAAAGAGTTTTTTTTCACGTTTAAGCTTTATTGTGTATTCCAATGCTCAAGAACTTCTCGATTTTCTAGTTTGAATTTTCAGTGGTTTTATGTTTGGTTTTAAGTTTGAAATTAGCAACACAATAGTTGGATACGGTCAGGAATCAACAGGGCTTGCAGATTTGGACTCCATATTAAAACACCTAAATCCTTTTAGTTTAGAAGATACGACAATTTTTGTAATTTTTTCAAAAGCTTTCGGAAAACTTTGATATGACAATTTTCACAAAAAGTGAAATTCCCATTCTTGTCGCGAGGCGCTATCAGGGTAAACTCAGGGATTGCAAGTCCAACATCCAAGTTTTACAGGTCCAGTCCCATCTTTTTTTTCTGATGTTTTTCGAAAAGTTTTAAAAAAACAAGTTTTAAAAAATTTCACAAATTCGGATTTTCACAAAATTGGAACTTGGTTTTAGAAAATTTCACAAAATGGTTTTAGTTTTTGAGATGTGGCATTTTTTAAAATGATTTCATCATAAATTTTCAAAAAATTTTGATATACACAAATTAACAAAGTCTAAAACTCCCAACCCTGTAGTGAAGCGCTCTTAAATTTTTCCCAGGATTTGCAAACCTTGTTTCCAAAAATGACTCCCATTTTTTTTAGATTTCGAGATATAACTTTGATTATTTATGTAATTTTTTCAAATTTTTTTTAGAAAACTTAGATTTACAAAAACTTCGAAATTCTAAACTGAGCGGTGTTTATGAAATACTCTCAAGCGTTGCAAGTTTTGTCTCCAAATATGACTACTCAAATCATTTCAGTTTCCGAGATATGACGTTTTTAGATTTATAAATTTGCACAAAAATTTAAATCCTACCCCAGTTCGAGAGTGTCGGAGTAATCTAAAGGGTTGCTAATTTTGTATTTGGAAGAGACCGCTCAAATGATTTTAACTCTTGAGAAATGGCAGTTGAAAAAATGTCTTCAAAATTTTTCACAAAAACCAGATATAAAAAATTTTCAAAATTGATGGTTTTTTTGATATTTCAAAAGTTTTCTTCAAACTAGGAAAAATGTAATATTTTACAATTGATTACGCTAAATTAAATATTTGATTCCAGCAAATACGTATGGGCAAAAATAGCAGCGAAAAAAAAACAAAGCAAGGATGAAGCAACCATTTTCGAAGAAGGTGAGGAATGTTTATGCTATGTAGTTTATTCGGCCCACTTTTACAAAATTCTGGTTCCACGGGGGATCGATTTCTTGCTCTGCGTGCTGCTAGCCGAGTTTGGGCACAACGATAGTAAACTGCCATATTTGTGCCGAAAACTGGTTGTTTGATTATCCAGCACTGAAAAATCGCTCCAAGTTGAATTGAGGCAGCTAATTTATTTTATCAGCTCAAACCATACACGACTCCAATTTTAACACTTAAGTTTTGATACTATCAGCTCAAAATTCATAGTTTCGCCTAAAATTAATTTACCAAAAACGATCCGAGACCAATTAAAGGGCAGTCGTAATTATTTAAATTTTCTTCTCAGATGTTTCTCAATCTCTTCTTAAATTCTCTGCGATAAATTCTCTTCTCAATTGTCTGAACTTCATTCTGCATTTAAAAACGGGCGGAATCACGCAAATACGCAAACAAAATGAGGTAATTTTCCGCAAAACGAACCATCAGACACCGCTTGCTAAATTGCTGCCTGCAATAATAAAAAGACAGAAACCTACATACCTGTACTTAATTATTAACCTTATCAAAAGCAAGCTCCGAAAACGATAGTTATCATTTAAAACGCTATCATGTGAAATTGTGTAGTTCTTTCTTTGGTACAAGTTTGCTTGCTAAGTGCCTAAATTTTAGATAGTTCCCTGGAGGACTTTTTTATGCTTAAAATGTTGTGAAACAAGTTTACACAATGTTTGCTGGTAGTTTTGATTTTTTTTTCAAAAATTGCGGGACCCATTTTGCATACTTGCATTTTTCAGAGACTTAAATGTCATACTTGTCTCTTTGTTTTGAGTTAATTTTCCAATTATTTAAGACAGGAGGGGAATGAACTATGGATTAGCCTGTTTTTTCCGCCCATTTTTGACAAACTCACAGAAAACTCGTAAAATTAAACTGTAGAGTTAAATTTTATCAACACTCTTTTAGCCGTGAATAGGTTGTTTTAGCCATGAACCGTCACCGATTTTCGCACTTTAATAACCAAATCAGTCCCATCTCACAATCTCACCACTTGAAACAAAAGCAAAAGAAAAGTTTTTTTTTTAAATAGAAATTACTTTTCGTTTTCTTTATTAAACAGTTCAAAAATTAGGCAGTTTTTCTTATTATAGATATTGTTTTTTCGGGGAATAAGGAGCTTTCAGTTAAAACATTGAACAGAGCTTGTGTACATTTTATTCGAAATACAGACAAAGTTCGTCGGTACAAGTCGGTACTAGAGGGGTCCCAGTAAAAGCCAAATGTGAGAAAGGTGTCCCGAATCACACTATTTTAAGCTAAAATAGCAATTAAATAATCAATACACACCAGTAGGTCGTTTTTAAACTTTTTCTGAAACGTAATTAACCTGAAGCAAAAAACGAAACAATTCTGCGGCTCTCTGTTTACATAAAGTACCCGGTTATTTTCTTGGACCCCTCTATCACACAGTTTAGTTTGTCAACTTTTTTCAATTTTTGTTAAAATAAAACTTAACTTTGAACTTGAAATTGAAAAACGTCAAAGTATTTGCCTACTTTTTGAAGTTTGCTCGATTGTGAAAGCATTTGTTTTAAGTCGGGAATTTCAGGGTGACCCAAAGCCATGAAATAATTTATCTTTTTTTGTTTAGAAATTTCTACTATTTTTTCTCGACAATAATTTGAGATTAGTAGTGTTTAAAAACAACCAGCCAATCAAAGAACAACCTCAAAATTATTAAGAGCTCCGCTCATTCTACGTGCAGTCAAGCGGGCTTAATAGATCCAATTTTAAAAATAAATAGTAAGATAAAGTTGACAACCAGTAAACACTACCAGTGAGTTTGACAGCCTATACATGTGACTTATAACAATAATAACAACAAAATTGCTCGTATCAAGGCAAAGCCCTCATTGTTCCGACTGTCTTTTAAAATCTATGTGTTAGCTTTTAATAAAGATGATTTTTTTCGAGAAACAAAATAAAAAATAGTATACTAAAATTATCCAACCACACGCCATATAAAAAACAAAGTGATAGTTTTTGCTCCAAGTGAAAGTCAACTATGGTAACTACCTTGTTTCAACCAATTCAACCAAACGATTTCTAAGAGGGATTATATTTCCGCTTACACGTTAATAGCGCGAACTATATGGCGCGTTAATTGTCCCAAATTTGCAAAAATGGCTATCTTCAAGCAATCATAAATTATGAAAAATGATCACAAGTAAAATATCGTTTAAAATTTGAACTCAAGACAACAATACCTTTTGGCTGATATATATAAAAAAAGTTCTGTCAAAAATTCTTAATTAAAAAGTCAAAGTTTGTTTAAAGATTAAGAAAACCACCCGAGCACAAATTTTCTGTTATTTTTGTTACGAAAGTCGTAACAATAATTTGCTGAAATTGTTATTAGGATCACAAATTTGTAGACTAGCTTACAATATTGGTAACAAGTATATCCCAGAGTGAAGCCTGAGAAAACGTCTTTAGACTAAATGGTCCGTTTTCAAACGTCTCTGAAATCTAAATTTCATCAGTTAGCAGTTGAAACAGCATTTAAGGGTTTTTTCTTTCACTCATGAGTCATGAAACTTTTTTCATTTTTTAAAACGAAATTTACGAATTTCAGAGCCAAGTGCTTCTCCGCGATACGAGCAATCTTGTTGAGATTGAAGTTTTTGATGAATTAAAAATGAAGTTCGTCGGTGCACTTTTTTGCAGTCGTTATTGTGTTAACAGTCAAAATTTCAGGTACCATGAATAGTATTGATTACTTTTTTTCCCTCTTCGAAAACCGTTTGGCGCCATTCTAGTGCCATTTTTTGTATTACTGATGGCTATCATTTGTTTTGGCTATCACTGGGAAACTTACTTCAGATATCTTAATGCGCATTTGGTAACTCAGGGCTCTGCCCTGATGCAAGCAGTCTGATTTCTTTTACGATCATTATCTTCAATAGTTTAATCGATATGTTCGTTATGAATCGTTATAAACTAAAGCTTGTACCGTTGTTTCCAGAGCTGAAAGCCTAAACCGGTCTGACATTTCAGCCCAAACTAAAAGCGCAAGAATTTGAACATGTTTGAGTTTGCTCAAGCTTAAACAACGGAGCATAAGTAAGCAAAATCATATAATTCTTTATTTGCACATTGAACTAATTCGAATCAAATTCCGCTCGTCGTTTTTGATCAATTCAAATTTCTGTCCTTTTGCGCTGTTTTCAGTCTCTAATTGGAAAAGTAAGAGATAATTCAAAATGAAACAAATTGAACTGGGCTGTGGTGCAACTTGTTCACAAATCGGTTACGGATGCATGTCATTAGAGCCATCAATTTACAAGATGGACGACCCTAATTTTTCCGACAATGACGCTCTGAAGGTTCTTCGGCGGGCACGTGAACTGGGCGTGACCATGTTTGACTCGTCTTTCGTTTACGGGTTTGGACATAACGAGACACTTCTGGGAAAATTCCTAAAAGGAATCGTTTAGATTTAGGCTCATGAAACATTTACTTCCGGAAATTATTTAATTCCGGATTAAATTTATTGAAATTCTTGAAATACTTAAAAACCAAAAAAGTAAAATTTTAAACATGGTATTTCATATTCGTCAGCGAGAATAATTCTCAGAAACAGAGAGAGTTGTCATGACCAAGGAATTATATCTGAATTCTGCCGATATCAAAGTGGCTTTTTTGCTCGCGTCCCCCCATCATTTTCTTTGCCCGCGTATCATACATATTTTAATTTTCTAAAATGTTTACCTACAAGGAGCCTAAAAACTAACTTGTCCACCTTATAGAGTTGACGCCGGAAGAGCGGAAAGATCTTTGCATTGCTACTAAAACAGGAGTTGCTTTCAAGAACAACATACCCGCAATGTGCGGTAAGAAAGATTTTCTCGTGGACGAAGGTCGAAAAGCCGCTGAGAGGCTAGGTTCTTATATCGATATTTTATACATGCAAAGACTTGACCCTGCAACTCCGATTGAAGAAAGTATGGAAGCTATGAAAGAGTTGATCAAAGAAGGCGTCATCAAAGGAGTCGGCTTAAGTGAGGCAAAGGCCGAGAATATTCGAAAAGCACATGCAATTCAACCAATCACAGCTGTCCAAATTGAGTATTCATTGTGGTCACGTGACGTCGAAAAAGACATTATTCCGACATGTCGTGAGTTGGGAATCGGTATTGTCGCCTATTCGCCTTTGGGACGAGGATTCTTGACTGGAAAATTTAAAAAGAGGGAAGAGCTAAAACATGGTGACTGGCGCTTGGATAACCCTCGCTTCGAACAAGAAGCAATTCAGCAGAATGCAAAACGAGTCGAAAAAATTGAAGCTATGGCGGCTAGGAAAGGCGGAGGTTGTACAGCTTCTAAACTGGCTCTATCTTGGGTTATGGCTCAAGGTGATGATATTGTTCCAATTCCAGGAACTGCCAAAATTGAGAACTTGGAGAAAAACGTGGACAGTGTAAATTTCACTCTTACGAAGGCGGAGGCACAAGGGTTGAGTGACATAATGATGCCCGATTACATAATCGGAAAAAGATATCAACCAGGATATTACCCTCATTACGAGAGTTAAACTGATAACTTTTAACGATGGTTAAGAAGATGCACTTTCAAGAACCATTTCGAGTTTATTAAAAAAAGTGCCCAGAGTTTGAATTTATAAATTCATCCCAAGTTCCGTGCCTTAGAATCTTTTAGTAATATTAATAGGACCCTAAATGAAATAGAAAAGTAAATTTTAAAAAACGTGATACATTTCAAGCATACAAGGGATTTCAAGAAAGTGAAAGATCCCCCTTTTTATATGGGAAAATAGGATAAATTATTTGGCTTTTACAATTTAAGAAAACTGTTGCTGGTTAATTTGAATTTCTGAAACTGCAGACATTTTAGTGAAAGAATTACAAGGTCCACAAATCTTTTTGGAAATTAAACGAAGAGATCATTTTTTAATTGCGTTAAATTTTTCTGTGTCACGAATTGTTGAATTTATTGAGTGTATGATGCTGTTATTTAGGTAGTTTTAATTTCTATGTTGTACTAACTTTTATCATTTGGGTTTTTTAGAAACAAAATTTTTTCAATCCGAGAGAACTTTCCATTTCTGAGACATTTATCACTTTGATCAGTGGAATTTTTTGGGCTGATTTTGGGATTTATTAAAGGACTGTTTTTACGGAACTGTTTTTTTGAGTGTCGATATCATTTTTGGGACTATTTTCGGCCGTAATGTTTTGTATTGGACTGTTTGTACAAACACAAGTATCTTGCATCATGCTTTGATATTTGGGCTCAATTTAATCTTAAGTCAAATCATACAAAAAATTTGTTGAATTTGAGG